GGGGGGTGGGGGGGTTGTTCATGTCAAAGGTTTTAAAAGGGGTATTGTTTTCATTAGGATGAGGGAAAATAACTCGGAATTTAATTAAAAGTCGGAAATTTAGAAGGAAAAATTGACAATTCCCTTGTTTGGCAACTTAAGCACGGAATTTATTAAATTACACATGGGGAAAATTGTGGAAATTAGGGTATCAAATTCCCGAGTTTAATTTTCACCAAAATATGTGTCATTTCACAATTTTCATATTGCCATTTACAAAATTCTGTCGTTTACAAAATTCGACATACATAAATCCAAACATTAAAATTTTCAATTGCCAGAAATTGAAATAATGAAAATTTAAATTTCGTCATGTTAGAATTCTATGTAATTTTCAATTCATGCCCTGTTTTTTGGACGAATAACTTATGCATTGAAAAGAGTTGGTATCCAAACACTCCCAAATAAGCTATGATAATTATCATAAGACAATTTAATGTTTATAAATAATACTATATGTTCGTGTATATATTTTCATCCACTTTTCTTCTTTAATTTAAAATTACAAATTAAAAAAAAAGTTTAAAAATTGAAAAAAATCCCAAATGGAGAGCCACTCCCAGCTAGACTTGTAAATGGATCGAATTCGAATCGGATATACCTCAAGCCATCCAATCCATTTATAATTGAATTATCGGATTCAGACTATCGAATTGTATTTATCAATCCATATTGGTTAAGCATTGGATTCAGATCGGATTATTATTGAATTTAGTTTGAGATGTACAAAAAAAAAATCAAAATTTTTCATTAGTAGCCTTGTTCTTTTATTGTATTTATCTACTTCATTCAAGGCCAATCTCTCTTACCCTCTCCGAGAGCTCACCAACCCTCCCTACCCATCAAGCCCGTCTGGCCAATCGTGGTCGTTCATGCAACTCAACCTGCCAATCGTGCCCGTTGTTATATTGGATTTGTAATTTAAAAATTATTTAAAGGTAAAGTATTTTTTACTAATTTTTTTAGTCCATGTTGGAGGTGGGTAATAGCCACATCACATGGACGAAATCGCCTTAGTACCCCTGCCACTCATAAAAAATAACAAAGTTATGAATGGAGATGAGGACATGGGGCAAATTGGAAGAACAAACCTTGTCAAGGGGGCAATGTGTACCACTTTGACTTCCAGGGGCAATGTAGGATTTGACCATAGTTTTAAGGACACTACAGTAAATAATTTAAAAGCAAGGATGGCTAGCTTTTTTTTAAAGTTTAATCCTTGATTGACCGAAAACTATAGTCAACAGGGTCTAGCTTAATGGAAAATAGTTTTGACTTGCAGAACAGTGGTCTAAGGTTCGAATTCCCTATGACATCTTGGTATTGTGTGTGAGAAACCCCCTCATCTTTTAGTTTAGACTATTGCTTGTGTTAAAAAAGAAAAAGAAACTATAATGCGGCCTGAACAAACAGAGAGGGATACTAGATGGGCCGCCCGTTGTGGCCCATTAGTTGTTGGGCTTCTGGACGGCTAATGAAAATGAAACAAGCCCTTGTACCAATTAAAGAAGGGAATGGAAATGAAATAACCCCTAAACCCTAGCCTGGGTAGTCACTGTCGAAGATTTTCTCTCATTTTCTCACTATATGGGTTTCCAACATTATTGAAAGAGTTGTTTTTTCATTTCACTTCCTCATTATTGAAAGGAATTTCAGATGAACAAGCAATGAACAAATCACAAGCATTCTCGTGGTCGCGTCTCATCCTCAATCAACCCATTAAAAATCCAACCAAAGCCCCACTCCGCTTCTCCCGGAAAATCTCCACTTCCCCACACTTTCCCACCTCTCATGCGCCCAAGCCCTCGTTTTCGTTTTCTGGGAAGACCCATTATTCCACAGTATCATCCAGAGCGGCCCAAGACCTTCTTGCCGAGGTAGAGAGAGAAAAGCAGAGAGAAAGAGAGCAGCGGAAAAGGGCTGGTCTGGACACCAAAGACATTGATCAAGAAGATGAGGAGGACTACTTGGGTGTTATACCATTGATTGAGAAGCTCGATAAGGAGAAGCTCAAGGGAGATACTGGGGACTTGAACTTGTATGAGGAGCCTACTGATTCTGATAGCGACGAAGACGACGAAAGGTTCACGCCCGATGCCGTCAAGAAGAGGTTTGATGAGTTTCAGAAGAAGTTTACGCGCCACGAGGAGTTGCTCAAGAACTTCACCGAGGCTGGTATTCAGTACTCGTTTTTTTTTTTTTGCTTGTTTCTTTGACTAGGTGGCTTGTTTTTATTTATTATTATTGACATTGCTTGATTGGATGGCTCACAATTGTGGGTGAAAAATATGAGAACGCAAATTTTTTTAATTACTATTTTTAGATTCCGGGTAAAACATGATGCTTTGTTTTATTTCTTTTTGTTTTAATATATGCATACATGACAATATATAGTAATGCTTTTTTGGTTTCAATGAGACCCATAACACTCCGGGTAAGTATATCAAATGCTATAATGGACATGAATTTATTTCTGTTGCAAAATTAAATCAAAGTTATGAACACTCATGATCGATTTATTTCAGTTATTTTGAAGAGCATTTTATCAGCAACAAGACAGAAAGCATCCGTGCACTATTCAGTTTGATTGGTATTCCTATTAAATTTTTATGTCAGAAGGTCAATGTGCACACTTCATAGTGCTCCTCACAGTTGCTCGGAAATGTGAAAAAAAAAAAAAAAAAACTTCTCTAAATATGGACTTTCATGATTTCTAAATGATTTCCCATGCTTTGTTTCTTCACAACTAGATAGGGGATTCAGGGTTATCTTATGTAATACTCTTCAGATTTGCACTTTACTTTTTCGTCTCTGAGATGAATTCTTATGTAAATCAGTGTAATACATTTTGTATTCCTGTAGTACATCATAACATTTGTTTACTTGTATTGAAATTTATGGCAGGAACACTTGATGATGCTTTTAAATGGATGAATAAAATTGACAAGTTCGAACAAAAACATTTCCGGCTTCGCCCTGAATATAGGGTCATCGGTGAGTTGATTAACCGTCTCAAAGTAGCTGAGGGCAAGGATAAATTCATTCTCCAGCAGAAACTAAACAGGGCTATGAGATTGGTGCAGTGGAAGGAAGCCTATGATCCAAACAATCCTGCCAATTATGGACTCATTCAGCATGAACAAGTGGAGTCCTCAGTTGATCTCTTGGAACATGCTGGATTTGAAAAAGAAAAGCAAATTATACAAGGAGTTGATGATGATGACGATGAAGAGTTCAATGACATGAAGGAGAAAGATGACATACTGTTAGAGAAACTTAACACGATTGACAAGAAACTTGAAGAGAAGCTAGCAGAGTTAGATCATACATTTGGGAAGAAGGGTAAGGTTCTAGAGGAAGAGATCAGAGATCTAGCAGAGGAAAGAAATGATTTGACAGAGAAGAAGAGAAGACCCCTCTACAGGAAAGTAAGTACATTTATCATCAAGTGGACCTTTTACTGATTTTAATTCAGCATAGGCAACAACTGACAAACTGATTGTAGTAAGTATTCAGAAGTTTCGAAATTGTTGTGGGTTAATTTTGATTCATTTTCTTTTCAATTTTCTATCCAATGTTTTTATTCTTGTTATAACCTTCTCTTCTCTTTTTTTGTGTGGTGGTTTTGGAAGTATTTAAGAATTTCATGAATTTGCTTGTTCTTTTTCTTTATTGAGCTCAGTGTAATCTGTTCGATTTTTAATAGTGTATGTAAATGATTCATTACTTGAGAGTACACATATCATCCATATGATGCCTGTAGAAGAAAGATTATATGTTGATTGTTTCTTATCTGGTTAGCCATGTGATACTTTGAAGTTTGAGTGGAGTTTCCACAATTTTTTTTCTGTGTTTTCCAATCATTCTTACTAAAGTCTGTTCTTCGAAGAGTTTTATGTTGTTTTGATCACCATTGCGTTTTCCCTTGCATTCGTATACATGTTTTTTTTTTTGCGTGCAAACTTCAATATTTTTGACCATCCTATCCATTACATGCTGGCAGGGCTTTGATGTTAAAATAATCAATGTGAACCGAACTTGTAAAGTTACAAAGGTATTCGCACCAACTTGCATTTTTTTTTTTTTGTAGTACATACATTGCTTTTGGTTTCTCGTAACAGAGAATGATGTTTCCACATTTCTATTTATGGCTTATAGGGGGGGCAAGTGGTCAAGTACAGTGCCATATTAGCTTGTGGGAACTATCATGGTGTTGTTGGTTATGCTAAAGCAAAAGGCCCAGCAGTCCCTATTGCTCTTCAGAAGGTATTTTGTTGAGTGCTATGAATTTTACAGAATTCCATATGTTTACACAGTTTTAGCCACATATTTTTTATTTGTTCATTTGGTAATGATTCAGGTTGCATGTCTCTGTGTGGTTTGGTTTTATTTTTTTTTATCCAAGTGTTAATATTTTAGAGGTAGCCGTTGTGGTCAAAGTAATAGAACTGATTATTTTAGATTTAAACTGGATCATATCATATACAGTGTTGTAATATTTCATGTATGTGATACCCATTCTATGTAGGTTTTAATCATATAGGATTGGAAATGAGAATTTAATTGGATGGCTGCTTCTAGTAATATTTGTATTCAAACTTCAACCTTAAAAAGTCTACCAAGTAATTTGGTTGGATCTATTTGGATAAGTTTCCAATGGTCGATATTCGGATATATCCTGGTATAATCTGAGATTTTGATTTTATAATTATTATAATTATTTTTTTTTTTCACAAGATAGGCTTTGGTAAGTTCAATTCCTATAACTTTATGCATCAATGGTTCACCTGCGTTGGTACTCAAATAACAAAAATGCTTTTCAGTTGGTGAGAACAAAATGTGGGCAGATCACCCCAACTAGCCGTGGCAATTGTTACCCTTCTGGTCCAATGAAGCATGAATACTCCATTTTTTTTGGGTGGAGCATTCGACACCCCTGATATGTGCCTAATGCTGTGTGGATGGTTCATTGTGTATCTAGTTTGCCTTTTCACACGACATTGATACGTGAGGAATCCAGGATGGATATATGAAGGATAATTTTTAGAAATTTTTTAGGAAAAAAACGTATTAGTTTATTTTAAATAGTGTTGGAATTGTTTTCGGAAAAGAAGGGAGATGAGTGGTATTTCAAAAATTTTAAGGCTAATATGAAAACAAAACATAACCTAACATAAATAAGAACCCTAAACCCTACTCAATAGAAGAGGATGGAACCGATCATTGGAGCACAATGAGCGCATCCTAGTTTCCAGAGAGATGTCATGTCCTTGCATTGTACCCTGCATGTATATGCATGCAACATTTTTGTCTGTCATTCTTCTTTTGGTTAGCACCCCCGTTATCTATGGGCAAAACGTCTTTTTCCATCTCAATTAGTAGAAAACTCCTGCGGAAATGACCATCTATGAATAATACTTCTTGTTCATGGAGATAAATCAACTCAGGGAGTATGACCAGTTTTTCTATTATCTAGGACCACATGAGGAGCATGCAATTTGTACATGTGATACAAACAGCATATTAAAAGATGGGAAGCCCACCATAGTTTATCAACTTATAGAAATTAAAACAGTTGTTCTTGTCAGTTTGGTGACTGTTTTCACTCTCGTTTGCTTTTGTCAGGATTTTGAACTTAATGTAAAGAGATTCTCTTATTCAAATGGCAAACATTACGGGTTTTTAAGTGTTTCCTCTTTTGCGCATAGACTTACTGGCAACTGTCATTTGTGAAATATTTACCTGAGTCATTCATGTTTCTTTTCTTTTGGCGATGTACACATTGGTTTTACAACAATCAGGCGTATGAGAAATGCTTTCAGAATCTACACTACGTAGAACGACATGAGGAGCATACAATTGCACATGCAATACAAACAACTTATAAAAAAACAAAGGTGATTGGTTCGTCTTTCTTGTATTGATTTTTTGTTCTGGTTTAGTATTTTCTTTGTTCTCCTCTTTTTCTTGTTTTTCCTCCATGATATAGAGCCTACCTTTAACCTGTAATTCTTATTAGGTGTATCTCTGGCCTGCATCCACTAGGACGGGTATGAAAGCGGGAAGAACTGTCCAAACCATTCTAAACTTAGCTGGTTTCAAAAATGTCAAGTCTAAGGTAATTGACTGTCAAAAGGAAGTCATTTTTACCAAGGGGTGGCTCCTGCAATTTGGTTTGTTGGTCTAACGTCCACACTCTTGTCAGGTTGTAGGTTCAAGGAATCCTCATAACACAGTTAAGGCTCTCTTCAAATCCCTTAATGCGGTAAGTAGCCCCATCAAATGTTATGTGATCTTCTTAAATTCATTGACTTTGAATTTATATTCACTGTGTCTATCTGTGCACTTTCCAGATTGAAACTCCAAAGGATGTTCAAGAGAAGTTTGGCCGCACTGTTGTTGAGAAGTACCTGCTGTGATAGATGTGTTTAATCTTGCTTGTTTGCAGAATTCTTTAAGTCCTGTTATGTTGGTCTGAAATAAGCTTGTATTCACTTATTAGATAATGTGATAAAAATGAAAAGTTATTTATATGTTAGTTCTGTACTTGGTTACCCTGGTTGGGAGGGTAGATGTGAGGAGGAAAAGCAAGTGCTGCGTAAGTCGAAAACGCAAGGTAAAGGACCAATTCTTTTCTACCATAATTTTTCATTCAAGAGATTTGTAATTCAATTTGTTCCCCCTCATTCTGCCTAGCACTTGCCACTCTTTTTTATTTTTATTTTTTTATAACAATTTTTTTGAAATGTTGCTTGGTTTTTCTGTTTTTGCCGTCTTCTACCCCAACCCCCTCCCCAGAGTTGCTTGTTTCTTTTAATTCAGTTCAAATGAGAAACAGAGAATAAGGAGGAAGACCTTCGGTTTCGGTAAAGATGCATGTATTTCAACTTCTGTGAGGTTTTATATTTAATTGATTTTCTTGCGCACATTTTTATAACTTTTTTAATACATGAAAAATGGAATATTCTGCTTTATTTTTTCTTTTTCTTTCCATGTTATTATTTATAGAAAAAGTAAATTACAAGGTAGATCCATTAAGGATCCTATGTTCATACAAATCACAATGTATTCTAAAAGCAACCTCCCTCAGGAATTTACTAAACCATATACAACTGGATGAAACTTCTCGTCCCTTTTAAGAGAGTGCATTTGCTACCATATCTGCTTCTCGATAAATATGACTTAATTGTAAGTACTTAATGAAACTTACTAACCATATACAAGTATATCCATTTTCTTTCCTTGCTTCGCTGCTTTTAAATATAGTGTGGTTGTTTGCGTTAAAAAAAATCACAGCCGTTCAATTTAATCGAATGGAATGGAGTCATTCTCTTTTCTCCTCTCTCAAACTGACTCTGCCCTCTTACATTACATTACAGAATTTATTTGAGGAAGAAAAACGTACATAACGGTAGTTTCTTCCAAAAATTTACACAAACATAAAAAGCATTTTTCCATTATAATAATTGATGAACAGTAAAAAAAGAAGAATCGTATTATAGTTTTTACCGCTAGTTATCGAACCATTTTAGTTAAAAATTAATTATAATTAATTTGCTGTGTAAGTGAAAGATGAAAATTTTGAAGATACAAGGTTAAGTTAAGGGTCCTTGGGACACCTCAGCGGTGAGTGCAGATGTCACAGGTGTCCCAGACTCACGGTATCAGTTGTAAGGAGCTGCTTCATCATGAGTCATATATGATCATTGACATGACATTAATCGGATCGGACCACACATTCCAACCAACGAGCCGAATGCCCAAGAATTTTCTCATAACAAGACAACATAATTGAGGTTAAGATAGAATTTGACAGTGTGGAAAATGGTAGTGTCATCGGAGGAGGGTACGGACAAGATCCGGAAGGTGGTGGGATTTGGGTACTGGGTGCAGGGCTTCAGGTGCTTCCCATGGATGGCCGTCAACTTCTTCCTCAAAGACGGCCTCCGCGTCGATTCCTCCACTCTCCAGCTCCTCCAGAACTCCGCCAACCTCCCCATGGTCGCCAAGCCCCTTTTCGGTGTTGTTTCCGACGCCGTCTACATTCGTGGCCAGCACCGCATACCTTATATCGCCTTCGGAGGTACCTACTTACTACTTACTACACCACACCACACCAATTTCTTTTATCTTTCTTTCCTGAATGGATTGCTTCATCTAAGTCACCTTTTGGAAAACCTAATTTTAAACTTCGTTATGAATTATCATTGATTAATTATTCCTTTTGTAAAACCTAATTTTGAACTTCGTTATGAATTATTGTAAAGAAAAATAACTTTTTTTTTACAGGATTGGCCTTTTTTGTCTTAAGCTTCTTTTTTATTTACTTTGTCGGTGTCGATGTAGTTTTGAATTAATAATTTGATCTAAGGAATCAGTGCATTGCAGAATACAACAGGGAGTGCACAGAGTCAGGGCCCGGCTCCCTTTTTCTTTTTACATGGAATTTGAATCATTCAAACTCCTCATATCATAAGCTTCAATGCTTTCGTTTGCTCAAAGATTCTGGAGCAGCAAAATAGCCAAATAAAAACTGCAGTAACAGATGTGCTAATACTTATCCACAGCTCTTTAAACCCAGCTTGTATTTCCTCCTCCCCATTTAATTAGGATAAAGATGCAACTTCTTTGTGATGAGTCAACTATTACTCTTTTGATTATGTCTCCCAATATACAACGATGTGCCATCACACAACAGAATTTTCTGCATGTCTAAAATATCGGTTCAAACATTGAAATTTAGTACTTTGCCAAAAAAATTCATTAGTTAGTTTAAGTAAATGTAACATTCATATAATGCACCCCGCTTTCGTTCACATGATAAAAATATTAATATTTCCTCCTTAAAAAAATGAGAATGCGAAGTTTCTATTCTCCTAGGCTTAAATTTGGTTCATAGATCCACCAATTTAATCATAGTTCTAGTTCATTCCTAGCTCTCTTTTTGTTTTTTTTGGGTCTGAAGTTCATTTCTAACACAACTCATCTGTTGTTGCAGCTTTCTTACAAGCAGTGTCATGGCTAGCCATAGCAATCCTCTCTGAATCAGGCATTTCAATTGGCACCATGACACTATATCTTCTCCTCAGTAATCTCGGTGCTTCAATTGCTGAGGTAGCCAATGATGCCATTGTTGCAGAGGCGGGAAAGCAGTCTAAGTCCTCCACAAATTCTCAACCATCATCGTCAGGCGAGCTCCAATCATTTTTCTGGATGGCTTCAGCTATGGGTGGAGTCCTTGGATTTCTCCTAGCTGGTCTTTCCATTGACAGATTCTCTCCCCAGAAGATGTTCCTGTTCTATGGCCTTCTCCTTACTGTCCAGTTTTTTCTAAGCATTTTTGTCCAGGAAAGTTCTTTGGACCTTCCCAAGAGGACAGCCGACGTTGGGATTCAAGAGAAGTTTACAGAGCTCTTGGTTGCACTAAGAGAACCTGAGATTGCTTACTCAATTACATGGTTTGCGGCTTCTTATGCCATTATTCCTGCATTGACAGGCACCATGTTCTTTTACCAGACGCAGTATCTGAATATTAACTCATCAGTGTTGGGAATCTCCAAGGTGTTTGGTCAAGTGGCAATGCTTCTATGGAGTGTCATCTATAATCGTCACTTGAAGTCAGTCACACCAAGAAAACTGATTTCTGCCATTCAGGTTACAATGGCTGTATTTATGGTTTCTGATGTGTTGTTTGTGAATAGGATTTATCGAAATTACATGGGGGTGCCAGACAATTTCTACGTTGTGATGTTTTCTGGCCTTTCGGAGATTCTCTTCTTTATTAAGATTCTGCCCTTCAGCATTCTTATAGCCAAGCTCTGCCCACCGGGATGCGAGGGATCTCTAATGGCATTTGTGATGTCTGCAATAGCGGTTGCATTCATAGTCAGTGGATATCTTGGCGTTGTGCTTGCATCGTATGCTGGGGTCACAGGAAATGATTTTTCAGGGTTTCCACTTGCCCTACTAATACAGGCACTTCTCACACTGTTGCCTCTATATTGGTCATCCTGTATCCCTGATGATGTAAAATCAAAAACCAGTCGGCAAAAGGAATAGCCAAATATAGTACTGTACTACTGGTCCACGTTAGATCAAATCTGAGGATATTTTCTTTTTTTAACTCAACTGTCCCTTTACTCATCGTGTACAAGTGGAAGTTTGGTGTGCAAAAAACTAGTGGAGTTAATATATATAAGATTGTCAAAGAAAAAATGAATTTGTTGAATATGTCGAAGAAAAGGAAAAATATCAGTATTGATAGGCAATTGATAATTATAAGATTGAGAATCACATGGCGTTGTGCGGTTGACAAACTGTCACCTCTAACTGGCGAGTTATCTGGTGCCTTAATGGCAGGGGTTCGAAATCCGTTGGAATCACTTTGTGGTCAGGGGCAAACCGAACCCCGAGTGGGGATTAATCCTACCCTTCGGGTGTGGGGACACCTTGTGATATTTATATAAAAAATAGATAATCATAAGATTGAGGACAAATTTAGGACTTCTTCTCATAAACTAAATTAAGAGCTCATCTGCACATGGCCCCCAATCTTCTTAAGCATCACCAATGCAACATTATATTAATGGTCTAATGGGTTAATGACAAGAATGTTTTGGTAATTTTGTCCCAAATATTACACTTGCATGCTTTATATTTTTCAGTCTTCCAAGCATCTCATTATGATTAGGGTTATTTGTAGCAATGGTCCCTTAATTATACTCGGAGTTACATTTTAGTCACTCAACTCAAATATTAGTTGCAGAGGTCACTCAATTGGGTGTTGTGTTGCACCGTTAGTCCCTACCGTCAAGTCTCTCTAACGGTAGGGACTAATGGTGCAACACAACACCTAATTGAGTGACCTCTGTAACTATTTTTGGAGTTGAGTGACCAAAATGTAACTTCGAGTATAGTTGAGGGATCATTGCTACAAATAATGCTAACTGAAAAGTCACATTTGCCCATCAATAATCTAAGAGATGCTTGTCACGTCATCATTTTAAACAGAAAAAGTCACAGACTTGACGGTAGTGACTAATTGTGCAACACAACACCCAATTGAGTGACCTCTGCAACTAATATTTGAGTTGAGTGACCAAAATGTAACTTCGAGTATAATTGAGGAATCATTGCTACGAATAACCCTTCTAATTATAAGCGTTTGCATTTTTATTAAAAACATGTACAATCCAACTATCTCACATGGAGTTGTGTTGGCGAGTCCTTACTTAGTTAGGATTTTGGTTCCTTATTTCATTAGAATTTTAGTTACTTACTAATTATTATTTAGTCCTATTGTAATAGAGATTTACTTCCTATTGTAATTTAGATATATTTCCTATTTTATTTAGGGTTAACACCTCTTTGTACTTGTATAAATACCTCTATATTGGAGAAGAATAAAAATTTGAGCATAACTAAATATATGCTATACTTTGTTTGACTTGGTATCGGAGCCAGGTTTTCTTGTGACCTGTGCTTGCGTTCTTCTTGAAATTTAAGTGCTCTCCTCCCCTCCTCTTCAAGGGGGGGAGGGGGAGTGAAAAGAATATGTTTATTGACGTATCCCCATTACCTTGATGTATTCCCATGAAGATATAGCCTATTTCTTGACTCCGACGACCCCTTCTCTTCAGGGGGAGATGGGGAGATATAGCCTACCTTGCAACCATCGTGTCTGTGTTCTGCCTTACCTACTGCCGTGCTCATAAAGTTTGTGTTCTACCTTACCTACTGCCGTGCA